ATTACATGGTATTCGCGTGTTGCGCGCGTAGTTACCCCCCTCCCCCCCCCCCTCCACCCCCCTGCCAACCCAAATCCAAAAAGTGGCACGCCTTCCACGGCGGCGAAAAGCTCGAAGGCCAGAAACAACTGCTGAGTTTGCGGTTTTTTTGTGGAGCATGCAAGTGTGCGTTGCTACGATCCTATTGAGCAGAGGCTCGTTGTTGGGGACACTTGTCTTGAAAAGCTGAGATTGCCTACTGCACACGGAGGGTTGCGAGAATAAGCTTCAAGGGCTTTAGGGGGTTGAAACCCGGTATTATGGGTATTTTGGAGGTCTATATATATAAGATAGCAGTCTCCGTTTTCTCTTCCATTCTTCCCAAGATTCCCCCAGAAAAAACCCATATTGATTTAATTCTGGCACTTGCGAGATGCATCGCGCGGACCTCAATCAATCCCCTCGCTGTACCAGGACTCCCAGCACAGAAGATTGCGGGCTAAGAGCTCCAGCATACTCCGTAAATTTCCCAAGAATTTATGTTCAGTACTACTTAAATGGTTATTCAGGGATTGTGGGGGCCCCCATCGGGCAACAGTAAGGACACATTTTCAGACACCCCATGTCCTCCAGCAAACTGTCTGAGCTTCGGGCGGTGTTGCGCTGGCGAGTGGACGGCATGTTGCCTCGCAAGGCTTCGTGGCCAGAGTTCAAAAATTGAACGCAAATAGCAGTTATACTGGCAATGATGAAGTTCATCTTAAGATGGGGAAGGACTCTTTTGTGGCTTCCCCTTGGGCTCGAATTACGAAATATGATCCTGATACCAGGCATCAAGAAGAAGGCGCGCAACTCACCTCTTGTTCAAATCGCGAGCTTTTCATATAGTAGTTTCCATTCTCTTTTCCATTATCCCTATATAACCCCAATATATACCCTAGTGTAATATAGTAGTTTTCATTTTCTCTTCCCTATCATACTATGCAGTCCGCGATATGCTGTATAGCCAATAGTAACAAGGCCGGCTGTCAGCAGGGAGACTGAGCCACTGACGGTTGGAAAGGGTCGCAGGCGAATGTCCAGGCAAAATGCTTCGGCTAAGTACTGCTGTAGCCGCAGGTGTTCGTTCATGTCATGGCGAGTGATGGAAATGCGTGCTCCCACTTGCCTCTATAGACAAGACTTTTCCAAACAACGAAAACAAATCCCAAGATTCATGTGGCATTCAGGCAAATGCATTCATCCGTCCAGCATCAACACGATGAATAAGCACGGAGTCATTCTTCTAAAGCTGCTATGATAATCGGTTACGAGGCCGGGTGGTCCGTTTGCCCGTTGCCTTACTTCATGGACGGAAAGCTCAGGAACCAGATCCAAATCACAAGAACTCCCTCAAAAATCGCAGGGCCTAGTCTTGAATTTGGCAAACCCCTTTCGAGACGGGTGCTAGAAATTGCTCGGAACCACTCCAAACCGTTCTTACCTCTCCAAGCTTCTCCGAAACATGCAATAACTCGTCGGCCCCAAAAGCGTGGACTTGCTCCTGAGAAGACACAATAAGTTCCTGCGAGTGGTTTTGTGTCAAACAAACCCTAGCATAAGGAGACCAGCAGACCTCCTAAATCACCAAAGCCAAATTCCCCGAAGCCCTTTCACTCGGCCTTGGAACCCACAGGCAACAAAATCCTCAATCCAATTGGCCTAGACGCAAACGAGATCATATGGGGGTCGCTACAGGTCTTTGTAAAGCAGGGACCATCGGGAATACACGTCTTCAAAGGGAGGTCCTAACCCAACCGAGAAGGAAACGTACCTTAGGGCCATCTTGGGGACAGGTAGCTTGAACAACAACCATATAGGTTGTTCGGTTATGAAGTATATTACGGCACCTAACATTTGGGGGTACCAAAATTGGACCCTAATTTTGGGAACTACTCATATATATATATATAAGTACACAGGCACACGCACAACCCAAAGCCGCTTTAATGAGCTGACTGCCCTAGATCGGAATCCAATATGACGCCGCACAAGCCGCTCGACTTTCTCTTGAAGTACCCTGAGCCCTACCTAGACCCTCCAATGTAGTTCCTTTTTGGGTTTGATATGGTTTTTTGGTTAGGAATCTTATTTGGACTACCAAAAAAGGTACTACGTTACAGGGTCTAGGTAAACTCTGAGCCCTATGATCCTAAACCCTATAACCCTATAACCCTATAACCCCAAACCCTAAACCCTAAACCCTAAATCTTAAACCCACTGTGTCCCGTAGGGGTTCCCTTTTTGGAGAAGAACCACGCCCTGACAAATCTCCCAAGGCAAGCCATGACCTGAAAGTGCTGTGCACAATGGTGGAGATACGTGAACGCTTAGGGTTTAGGGATTAGGGTTTAGGGATTAGGCTTAAGGGATTAGGGTTTAGGGTTTAGGGATTTAGGGATTTAGGGTTTAGGGTTTAGAGGCTTCAGGCTTCAGAGGTCCCCACCTGAATAGACTGAGAACACAACTTTTCTCCACAGGGGCGAAGGTCTCAATGCTAGGTCTATCGCAAATGTTGGAAATTGCATGACCTGCTGACAAAGTAACTAATTCCTATCCATGGATCGTGCTAGGAAAGAATTGCATCTGCAAGGTCCTGCAGTCGCCCAACAAGCTCCTACAAGACAGTTTCCAAAAATGGGGGTGTCCCAATATAGACCCTCCAGGACTACAGTCCTAATTATAAGGATCCAAAAAAAGTACCCCCCTAATTTTGAGAAACTCCCACTTGTACCCTGGCAACACACGCAAGACGCCATTTCGTTTGGGCGGGTGTGTGCCACACAAGTTCACTGTGCAGCGGAGCCTGATGGCTGATGTATGTTTGGTTTAACGATCCATCTAGTGCATGCCCACAAGCAGCATGCGCAATCTGGACATCCTACGTGCACAAACATCACGGACTGCCACGTGGTCTGCGGAGCACATGGCCACACCAGTCACGATTGTAGCAATGGCTGCGTACTTGACAGGATGTACGCACTCTCCAAAGAATATCAATAACAGGACAGCACTCGCAACAGGCTCCATAGGTTTCACCATGCCGATCAGAAACACATCGCCGTAAGCAAGGGTCAACACAGTGGCTGCTTGGCCACAAGCAGAAGCAGCACCAAGTGGCACGAAAGCCATCCTGCTTTGCTGCATTGCTCATTTTTTGATCCAGTGAAGCAGATGTCTGGCCCGGGATGTAGAGAAAGGTAGTTGTACTCATTGCATCAATGCTTCTCTTCAAGTTCTCATGTCCGCCCAGCTTCTAGCGGAATTCTGGTCCACAAGAAGTCTTACAAGCACCAAGGCTCCGGTTCTTTGTAGCAGAGATGCAAGCCAGGGCTAAGGCGTTCTGTGGCTGGTTCTTCTCGGTGCAGGTGCCACCAGCTTCAGGGCATTGCAAGGTCAAGGTTGTCCCTGAGAACTGCACACTTTATAACCAAAGCAGCATGCCATTAACTGCTTGCGGAATCGTTATTGTCCTTCTTTTTTTTCTTCTTGTCCTTTTTCACCTTCTTTGATTTCTTCAGCTTCTTCTCCTTCTTCAGCTTCGCAGACTTTTTGGCATCTTGCTTCTTGTCCTGCAAAGCATCATGTGAAACGAGACATCATCGTAAGCATCTATCTTCATGGTTTCAGTTTTCGATGTGGGGCTCATTCACGCCATGTGTTGTCCTCATCCGGGCTGTTTTTCAAGGCAGTTTTATGGCACTTGGATTGACCCACCTCAAGGGCCACAAAACAGCTTCCCAAAACGCTTCATGATTGCCGATAAGAAAGCGGCCGTTGCAACCCGAGGCCACGAACACTGCATGAGCAAGAGGCAACTACTAACTGATATGGTACATTATAGAATATTATGGTAAATATTGTGGTATATCATAGTATAGTATGGCACATTGGAGGTTTGAACAACATGTGTCGGCAGGCCTCTATTAACAAGTACAGTTCTGCCACATCCACCTTGTTGCAAGTCTAGGAGGGGCTCCTCCTTGGAGTCGCTGCTGCTGATTGTGGGGTTGTCAGCCGCAACATCCTGTGCTCCAGGAAAGAGCAGTGTGCTGGACAATGCAACTGCCCTGCTACACTTTTTATGGGGATTACATTGGGATAGAGGAAAAGAAAATAGAAACCATAATAGCAGATGGGGGTGTTATGTTGGGGCTCATATAGGGATGATGGAAAAGAGCATGGAGGCTACTATAGTATATTGGGGCATCACGTTTCATTGTGGGCGGGACCCTTCCAATCCCCACATGGTGCACATAGCTGCTCATACAGGCTGTCCGGTGTTGGGAGGGTCGTCAAAAAAATGCTACAGCGAACGAGCTCCACCTTTGCGGTGCGCCTTGTGCAGCGCAATGTCTGAAACCCAAAAAGGTGGATGAAGGAATGGGTTCCCTTAGCAGTCCCCATAGAACCCTTTCCCATGGTCCTTAGAACCCATTCCCCTATCCCTCACCGATCAGCAAGTGAGAAGAGCCATAGAACAAGGGCTTCCTAGACGGTGACATCAGATCATAAAAGGATTTCTGGGTGCCTTCAGGCCTTAAGATGAAGCCCCTATATCTATCATATGACGGATACAAGGGGTCTTGATTGGACAAGCTTGGGTTACGAAGCAGATCTTGCTTTCAGAGACTACAAGTGGGCCACAGTGTAGGTCCTACCACTGCTGTTTGGAGTGACTACATGCTAATCACAGGGCCAGGCTCTGCTATAGCCAGTCCGTTCATGCAACCAAACTTTGAAAGGCGCATGCACCATCACGAAATCCACTATCTGAAATCCGTTTGCTTGATGAGGCGGACTATGAAAGAAGGATGGACACTGGGGAGCCTCGATCCATCCACTGCCCTGGGCCCTTTTGGAGCGTTAGATTTCTTGGGCGGCATTAATCGCAGTCAATCCGGCCCATTTTGTACAGATTCCGATTCCCTGCATGATCTGCGGAGCTGGAACAATACAACGAGACGCCAAAATGTGCTTGATTCCGCGGTCTGCACAAAAACCAGCTTTTCCCTTCAATAGACAAGTTAAGGCCTGAAAGAACATGAAACATGTACTGAAGCAAGATATGCTCCAATCCTAGGGGCTGCATCTCAAACAGGACCTACTTGCATTCAGTGGAAAGCTACGAAGGCAGGGCTGAAGATGTACATTTACTCAGGAAGTGCCTCGTAGGACCTCGAAACACCGCCTTCTTATTATCTTACCTCTGGTTAGCTAGGAGCGAAGGAATAGATCCTTATAGTGGTCCCTATAATTATGACCCATTATAATAGTTTCCATTTTCTTTTCCATTCCTTCATTCCCAGCTAGCCACAGGTAAGTTATGGGTCTGGCAAAGCTCCTTTGAGACCTTCGGCTCGGGGATGCCCGTCGTGCGCAGGATCCTTTCACTTGAGTAGTGGTTTAGGGTTTAGGGTTTAGGGTTAGGATCCTTTCACTTGAGTAGTGGTCAAGTTCCCGGCTTGCTTTTGGGAGCCAAATGCCTACCATGGGGGTCACGGTTGAAGGTATGGGGCTTAGAGGGGGGGATCACGGCCCGAGAGTCTCAGATCTTGTATATAAGGATACATCCGCGAATGGTATGATCACGCTGCTCATGCATCTAGATTTCAGGCACCTCTTCTGCAAACACCAGACCATTACGCATGTCCGACTCGTGTCCTCTGACCAGAAGCAACTCAAAGTCCTCTGAAGAGAGCATATTACGATGTTTCGGCGAATTTGTGCTGCAGCATTTCTTCGTTGCTTCAGTTGACTGGACTATCCATACAAAGGATTTAAAGATGAAGATCGACTGAAGCGCGGAAGTTGGCCATCTGCTGTTTTACGGTTGACCTGTATTTTTGAAATCGCATGTAAGACATGTAGATGCCGAGATCATGCAACACCACCGGTTTCGCAGGCTCTTTTTGTTTGCAGCCCCTGTGCTTGCGGCTGTGTAATTATAGGACACAGCGTTGTAATGATCCTACTCACTGGCATTAATTTTGTTTGCTGACACATAGAGACTGCCACCATAGTCTCACCATAGTCTACTGGCAGAACTCCGTCGTGCTCTATGCAGCGGTAGCCAGAAGCATACGAGTACCACCTTCATGTGAGTTGCTGTCGCTAGATCAATGCTAGGTGAATGCATAACTTATACACAAAGATTGGGCAATGCGAGGACGTACAAATGCGCCAGCCCATCACATTGGATGCCCATTTCCCTTGTAAGAGCTAGCATCCTTAAATGGGCAACTCAGGACACAGAAAGCCTGCGCCATTTTGTGTTCACATAGCACAGGAAGTTTCCGCAAACTGATTTGCAAGCGAGGATCACTCTCTTCGCCGCCTCCGTGTCGACGTGGAGCTTGGAACCCTGGGTACGGCCAATGTAATAGCTTCCTAAAATCAGGGGACCCCAATAAAGACCCCCTAAATACGAGGATCCTTATGATGGGGACCCCCCCAAAAGGCACCCCTAATTTAGGGAACACCCATGTCAGGAGCGCGAAGAATAAAACCTAGTCTAGTGACAGGGGAAGCGCATGGGTCGATTCGGAGCCTTTGTACAATGCGAGAGTCATGCAACCCGTGCTACATGCTGTGGTCGCTGCATCCTCATTTGCTCAAAATGGGAGTTTGCCAAAATTGGGGCTGCCCTTTTGGGGGTCCCTACAAGAAAGATTATAGCATTTTGGGTCTATATTGAGGGGTCCCCCTATTCTGGAGAGTACCAAATACAACTGGAATGAAACTGGAGGCAGATCATCAGCAAACCAAAGTTCGGCTTGCCCAAACAATGATAGATCCTCTTTGCTTTCTATGTCTGGCTGGTGCAGGCAGAAACACGCTGCCTGCGTAACATGCGAATAGGACCACAGGGGGCTATTCACTCCTCACTCAGGCCATGATTCGCGCAGACCTATCGCCACCTGCCTACCTACATCAACCTACGTCCCCCGTTTAAACTTGCCTATGTCTGCAGAATCCTGATGAGCCATTGCAAGCCCATCAAAGGACAAGAGCTGTGAGCTATGACAATGCGGCCCCGGCTCCCGTCAACTCAAACGATTTGTTGAATCATAGGGATTTGCATGCAGATTACCCTACTCATTCTGATGGGGTATGTGATGTTCATAAACATCTGATGACGAGTCTTGAAGCGTTCGCTCTTTAATACTCAATGTCCATGGTGAGGTTGCTGTCGGGCGGCTGCGCCTGGTATTCGACATTTGGCACATTTCCTCGGAGACGAGTCGTGAGACTGATGAATCGTGAGTGTTGTACATTAATTGCCTTATGCCATATGGGAATACTAGAAAACAAGGGCTCTAGTCTAGTGAACGAATGCCATGGCGATGTGTGTGCATGATTCCAAACTGGCTTACTTGGTGCTCTGGACATTTCATCTTTCTGTGTGGGACCACTTGGGTCAGTGAGGACCTTGTTTCAGCTGCGAACCAAAAAGTAGTTGACAACCACCGAAAACGCTGCTACAAATCTTCCAGTTGCTCTATTACGGACCATGCTTTTTCGGGGGCCTAAACCCTAAACCTTAAATAGTAGTTTCCATTTTCTTTTCCATTATCCCTATGTAACCCCACTATATATATATATAGATGTATATACTATCAAGTTCTCATTCGTGAAAAAATGTTGGGCTTGGGCTCAAGCCAGTGCCGGCCTGCAACCCGCGCAAGCAGCAATAGCCGTGTAGGACGCCCTGGCTATACAGGATTAATCACTCCCCCTAATATTAAACACCCCCCCCCCCCATAATACTCCCCATTATGTGGTATGGTATATCATAATATATTGGGAGTATTTAGTTGTAGCGGGGTAGCTGTAGCTTTCATGCAGTTGAGTTTCATAGACTCGTGTCCATCCCAAACTGGGCGGGTACAGTCGACACACCGCTCCTTCTTGTCCATGATCCCTCCAACGAACATGGACCTCCTGTGGAAGAAACCTCGGCTAAAGGGGAAGAGTCGACACAAAGAAAGGCACTAGTACCAGTCATGGGAAAGAGGAAGAAAACTGTATCCTAGAAGATCCGCCATGGGAGGATCTGCCAAAACGACTGAGGACTTGTTAGCATCCAGCAAGTACCGGTTACACGTACGGTCTAAGTCTCGGCCGACAAA